GATTGCCTTCGCCTGACTTCCCACCCTCCGACTGCCACCGCCGCGCCCACGCCGCCCCTTCCCAGCGCGCCGCGCCGCGAGCGAGCGCGCCGCGCTCGGCGGCGGGCTGTCTGTGCGGCTCGCCTGGGGGAAGACCCAGGAGGCAGCTGCCCTGTACGCGCTGCTGCGGCTCTTCCCCATGTCAGTCATGGAGGAGGTGGGGCTGTTCCCGCGCGACGCTGACTCAGCGTCCTCGTTGGCAGGAGCGGCGGGGGCAGCAGCGGGAGGGGCAGGGAGCGCGCCGCCGCTGGGGGCGTCCCCCGATGGAATTCTTTGCCACCAGCTGTGGTTCAGCCGGGACGAGGTGGCGGCGGCGGTGGCCGTGCTGCGGCGCGGCGGCGGCAGCAGTGGCGAGGCCGGCGGGGGCATCGGCGGCCGCGGCGCCGCGGCGCGCATGCTGCTTGCGGCCGGGTTAGCGCGGGTCCCATGCACCGCAGCCGCCGCGCCGGCGGCCGCCGCAGCCGCGGCGGCGGCCGGGGCCCCGGCTTGTGCGCGGGCGGGCGGCCGTAGCGGCAGGGGTGGCGGTGCCTCCACGGCCGCTGCAGGGCCGTGCGGCGGCCTGTCTTTTGGGAGCGTAGAAGATCAATTGGTGGAATTTTTGGAGGCAGCTGCTGCGCAGCTGAGTCGAGAGGGCGCGGCGGCCGGCGCCGCTGTGGCCGACGAGAGCGCCAGCAGCAGCAGCAGCAGGCCCGGCGGCGGTGGGCGGGAGGGCAGCGGCGACGATGAGTGGCCGTTTTCCGTTTGGGTGCGGGAGGTGGTTGAAGTGAAGACCCACTGCCCCTTCGTATTCAAGTGAGCCGGACCTCCTGTAGCTTTGGACCCACTCAACACCAGGGTGCATTCTCTATGCTCCCTCCTCAGTATTCCTCCCCCACGCGCTGCTGAATACCTGGTTGTCAAGCCCAGGCCGCTCCCTTGCCCCGGCCGCCTTGCCCCCACCGCCTTGCCCCCGCCGCCTCGCCCCCGCCGCCTTGCCCCCGCCGCCTGCACCCAGCCCGCCGCCCCGCCTCGCACACACACGCGCACTTGCTCGCGCACGGCCGCAGGGGCAAGCGGCGCGGCAGGAAGGGGCGCGTCAACCTGGACTTTGGGATGCAGGCCGTGACGCCCGCGCCGCGCGTGCAGCCCGCGTGGGTGCCCCAGCTGCAGCTGCACATGCTCTGCACCGGCTGCCTCACGGCGCTCCTAGTCAGCAGGTCAGTGCCGGGTGCAGGGACAGCAGGGTGGAAGGCGGAGGGGCAGGCGGGGGCTGGGATTTTTTGGGGGGGCCAGGAGGGCGAGGGTCGTGCACTGAGCAGGGGGGGGTGCTGAGGTGGGGGGAAGCTGGGCGTGCGCATGCCTGGAGATCGTCTTGGCGGCTCCCACAGCCCAGAGCGCGATTAACAGGCGGGGGAGGCGGGCCGCCCACTGAAGCCGCGCCATCAGCCTCGCCCGCACATTGTGCGCCGACGCGCACGGCGTCCCGAATCGGGCACAATCACGCCCCCGTCCGCAAACGGTTGACCATCCAACTACACACCCAATCACTTGCCGATATTGGTACTCCTGCGGCATTCCTGAATTGGCCGGCCACGCGCTCTATACAATGCTATCCCCACCCTACCCCACCCCCCACCAGGACCGCCGAAAACGGACTGCGTGTCTTCCGGGTCTGGCGGGACGACTCATACCTGTGGGGGTTAGTCGCGATCCTGACCACCCTGATGACTCACCACGTCGCCGCCGGCAAGGCGCCCACGGGCTCCCAATTCGCGTCCATGGCCGGCCAGAGCGAGCTGCTATCCAGGACCTGCGAGCTCGCGAAACGCGCCGTCGTGATTGCGGAGCCTGGCTGCGGCGCCGGCGGCGAGGCCGCGCCTGTGACGGGGGCCGGCGGGCTCAAGATCCGGATCGTGGGGGAGGCGTCGGCGGGCCCTGGGGCCGCCGCGCTCGTGCCGCCGCCCTGCCCGGACGGGTCGAACACGTCTGCGTTCTGGGTGTAACCGGCTCTGGTCTGCGCGTGCGCGACAAATTGGTCGCTGGGTGCACTTGTCCACCGTCTGCGTTGCGTCGAGTCGAGACGGGTGGGTGGGTGGGGCACCTGATCCCTACATAGTACAATTCATGAATCTGGGTGGCACCCGGGAGCCTCCCAGACCTGCCTGGCCCGGCAGCTGCCTAGGGCAGGCTTGCTCTATTGCAGCGCAGCCATCGGGAAGTGTCCTCCATGGTGACATGCGAGGGGCCGGGGGGAAGTTGTGCAAGGGGGAGGGGCTTGATGTGCAGTCCGTTTATATTTGTATGCAGCACCCATGCAACCCACCCCTTTATTTGTGCCATCCCCTAGGGCTGTGGGGCGAAGCCTCTCGGCGCGACCACACGTGGGGCCTGGGCTGGGTGGCTGCTTGCTGGCGGCCTAGGACGGCTTGCGTCCGGCCAGTACTATTATATGTCGCACCCCGGCAGGTTCAGCACTCCGCAGCCTGAGGCCAGCGCAGCCGGCTCGGCAGACAAGTTTTGGACCATCCCTGAGGTTGGTTTGACCAGGTCAGCTCTGCCGCAACCCCACAAAGCCTCCGTAACTTACCTCAAGGGACGCTGAAAAATATTTAGAGATACAAGAATTATTCACAGCATCGAGCCCAGCACCGCGCAGTAACCCCCAAGCTTGTTGGAAAGGTATGAACTGCTGTGGGTCGCTGCGGCGTTCCCTGAAATAGTGCGAGACAAATAGAGGATGCACAGCTCCAATGTCATGATGTGAGGCCATATTACGTGCACATGCACATGTATGAAGAGGCGAGCGGCGCCCCAGACCTAGCAGCAGACCGTGAGGCTCTGGGCTGGGCAGGGAGCCGCGAACGCCGCCAGGTCATCATGCATACACGGCACAAGCGCCATGCGCATGGCAGCGCGCACAATGCAAGAACAAAGGATGTGAGTTGTTTGAGTATTATGAACTTCGTGTGCGACCTTGCTGCGTCTACAATTGCACCGGCAGATTTTTGGGACGCGCGATCGCAGGAGGCTTGATCCCAGTGGAACCTCGCCATATATACTCAAACATCTTTTATAGATAAACAGCGTCGATGCTGCGCCGGCCGCCCGCCGTCGCAGCGTCCAGTCGCGGCTGCAACGTCATCGGCGGGCCCAAGCATGCAGGCGCAGCGGCGCGCTGGCGCGACGCCGCCGCGCCCCCAGTCGGAACTGCAGCAGCTGGTGCAGCAGCCACAGCAGCAGCAGCGGCGCTGCTGATCGCCGGCCCCCTCTCGCCTCACGCCGCTGCTGCCGGGGCGTTGCAGCCGCTGTTCCCCGGCGGCCCAGAGCCGATACCCCGCCAGACGCCCCCCGGCAGCGGCCCCCACAACCCGTTGCTGCGCCTGCCACCGCCGCCCCCCGCCGCGCCCGCGCCGCTGGCGCCGCCGGCGCCCGGCGGGGGCTCGGCGCAAGGGGGAGATGGCGAGGGGGGACGCCAGGCGTGCCCCGGCGACGGTCCTGGCGGCGGGGGCGGCGGGGGCGGCGGCGCGGGTGAGGCGCTGGGTGACCAGATGAGGCAGCTGCAGAAAGGGCTGACTAAGCCCTGCTAGGCGCCGCCGCCGCCGCCGCTGCCAGAGGCCGCGCAGCGGCACAGCGCGCTCGAGGGCGACCTTCGTCCAGGTTTGGGCACCTGCTGCCAGTAGCTCTATCTGCCATATGCCACCTCCTTGCTCGCTCGCACTGTCATTTCACAAGCTGGCGCCGGGGTGAGCTCCTCTCACTGGCTCAGGCTTCACCCCTTCGCCCCGTCCCGGCTGGGTGATCGGCGCGCGGAGCGTGCCGTTCACTGCCGATTTACTGGGGCACAGCACCGACAGCCGCTGTCGTTTACACAATTTTTCATGGCGGTTTCGAGCGCTTAGGCATGTGACAAATAAGTGCAGTCAGCTCTCGGACCACACGCAGCCACTTGCGCGGCGTGCACCGACCGAGCGTGCAGCCACGTTGCTGGAGTGGCGCTGTGTGGTTGCATTGTCAATAAGGGGTGTGTGCGCGCCAGGACAAGCCCACACGTGTTTAGCGTAATGCGTGAGCTTGTAGGGAGGAATTGCGTGTGCATGTGATCTTACGTGTGTGTGCATGCACACCTGTGTGTGGAAGCGGTTGCATGTGTGCGTGTGTGCAGAGCTTGCGCATGCGTGCGTTGTACTGGGCAGTGGGTTGTTGATTGCGAACGTCTTTTCCAGGCATATCCTTTTGTTATGAGGCAACAGACACGCGAGCCGACGTGCGTGCGCTTTAGTCTCAAAGGCAGGGTGGGGCGGCGGCGCCCGAGCCGCAGGCAGCAACCCAGGGCTTGTCTGGTGACGTGTGGTGATGGGTCGCGCACCTGGGCTCAACCCGTCAGCCCGTGCTGATGTGGCGTGCAGACGGCACAGGGTGGGGAGTGGCCCGTATGTATCGGGGATCGCCCGCGGCCCATGCGCGACTCGAGCCTTTGCTAACAAACAAAGTCGGGACTTGAGAGACACGGAAATCATGCAGGAGCAAACGCAGCTAGGGCGCCTCGGCGCGGCGCCATCAAGGCGGTTTTTTTTCTGGGATATGTTCTTGCCACTCGACCAATCGGCAACCAACCCGCAACCTGTCGGTTGCTGCAACAATCAAGGGGACCTGGTGACGGCGCACAGGGCAATCAAAAACCCGACGTGAGCCGCTGAAACAGGGGTGGATCCGATTCATGCTGACGAGGCGGGCCGCCTTGCGCAACGGGACGGCATTGTGGCATCGCCAGATGACTCTTGGAGGCGCCGCTCCAGTGCATGCACTCGTGCGTGGCTCGCCACCTGAACTCGTCCCAAAGCCGCGGGCCCGCATGCATGCACTCCTGGGTGTGACGCCCGCGCCACGCCATGCATTCTGGAGCAAGGTGCGGCCGCGCGGCAGGCAGGGCCGGCGCACAGGGGCGGGGGCGGCAGGAGGTAGGGGCGCGGCCGAGGGCGGGAAAAATCGGCCTGCCACTGGGGCCCCGTCGCAGATAGAGGCCTGGCGGGCACCCCGTCCGCAGTGAGGCGGTCGGGGCGGAATGAGCAGGGCGGTGGGCCCTGTATTTGAGAGGCAAGGCCGAGCCCGCGGCACGCACCAACTGTGCTGCTGCACGCGACAACCCGCGCGCGGCGCACAGGGGGGCCGGTCCGCAGGGGCTGGTTCGCCCGGCAGAGGCCGGGAGGAATGGCGCGGCTCCCAACCGCGTGCTTGGGCACGGGCGCGGTCCGCAACGAAGGGTCCTAAGGAATGCGGCTCTCGTTGCAGTTCAGTAGTAAAACCCAGGCCAACGCTCAGCAATCTCGTGCAGGTGTGATCGCAGATCGAGCACCGCGCGCCGCCCCCTCGCTCCCCACAACAAACCCCGCCGGGTCCCTGCAAGAATGCAGAGCAGTGAGCCGGCGGGCAACACGAGCGGAATCCTTGAAAAGTAGTTTCAAGGTTTCTAGTGTATTGGACGGGATGGAGGGGCGTGGCTAAGTACAACAGCAGCCCCAGCCAGGGCAGGGCCCTTGCACACGGCGGGCCCGGGTGTGCAGAGAGCTGCCCGCCCGGCGTGGGGGTTTGGGCGTAGGAACAGGATTCTCCCTATCGGCTTTCGAGAAACATGAACAAAGGGATGCGCTCGACAGACAATTAGGCTGGTTGTGTGGTGTGTGTATGTGTGCAAGTGTTTGAGTGCGCGTGTGTGTGGTTGAAAGAGAGAGCGCGGCATATGCCGATGACCCTGAAAGTGCAATGCAGCCGACAGGTCACGTCTGAGGCCGTGAGTGAGCCGCGCCATATACAGCTGCAACCCCCGGGTGCAATACGCGGGGACAGGAAGGCGTGAAGGCGCGAGCTGCTGAGTCGTGCGACGGCGGCGTTCGTGCGCGGAGCAGCCGTGTTTGTGTGTGTGTCGGAGCATTGCACACACTCTGCTGGTGTGTGCCAGTGTGTGTGTGTGTGTGTGTGTGTGTGTGTGTGTGTGTGTGTGTGTGTGTGCGTGTGTGTGTGTGTATGTGTGTACGTGTGCACACACGCACGCGCGCAGGCAAGGGGGAGCAGTGCGCGCTAGGCAGTGCCGGGGCCGCCCTGCGACGGGACCCCCTTGCGTAATAGAGAACCACGCAACCAAAGGTGCCTACAATGGCCGAGCGGCAAGCGGCGGCTGCCGGGGCCCTGCTGCATTGGGCAGATATTCTGGATGAGCTTGGACGCCTCACGGAATTGGGTGGGGCGACAAAACTCCAAAAAAGCGTCTCTCCTCTCTGGGTGCCGGACGCTGTGCTCGCGTGCGGGCTGCGCGCGCCCCAGAAAACGGCCGTGGCACCCTCATGCGTGCGCCGCGCGCGGCGCGCTGGTGCAGGCGTGCAGCGCGGTGCGGCCGCGGCCGCAGGCGCAGCAGGCGCACCCGAGGCCGCTCAGAAGCGTGCGCCGGCCTCGGCCGCGGGCACAGCGGGCGCAGCGGGCGCCCGTCTACGCGTGCATGCTGGCATGAAAAGTGCTGTAGGTTCGCTCCCGGGTGTCCACGGCAGTGGTAGGTGCCCGGCTCGCCTGGGAAGCAAAGGGGGCAGGCGCGAGGTCCCCAGGGGGCTCTGCGCACGGCGACGCCCGGGTGGTGCACTCTGGGGCAGCGCAAGGGCTCCAAACACGACTCATCGCCGGGGTGCCCCGGGTATCCTGGGGACCCCTCATTTCTGACTCTCCGCCTTGCGTCGATGCGTGCATGAGACGCAAGGGGGCCGACGGCGGCCGTTCAAGCAGGGACACGCATTCATAAGCGGAGCCCTGGCTTGATTCTCTGCTCCTGCGCGCAAAACAATGGCAGAAGCAGCGGGCTGCGAGCAATCCGGGGGCCCCACGGCCCCTTTGCGGCGCGTGGAATGGCCAAGGCCGCGGCGCGCCGCTGCTGCTTGCGGCATGCCGTCGAAATCAAGCCCCGCGGCCCGCGCGCCTAGGCGCGGGCGCGCGGGGCGGGGGATGTGAAAGCGGGCTCGCTCTGCTGAACGTTGGGCTTCTGATGGCCGGCAGTCGTCAGACGCCGGCCCGCCCGCCTGCGCCTCTCCATCTCTTCCTCGAAAGAATTCAATTCGCGCGTGCGCCCGCTGGGGTTGCGGTAACCAAGCACGGCGCGCGCCGCGGAACGCGCGCGTGCGCAATGTGCCCAATTGTGGGCATGGCGAGCGAAGGGCGGCGCACGAGCGGGTGTTGGCAACGAGGTGCGCGCCCGGCGCTGTGGAAAAGCGCGGCGCGGGCGGCCTCTCTGATCAGCCGCGTTAGAGAGCGGCACCTGCTGCAGCCCAGGGCGGGCGGCATGCAATGGGGACGCGAGGGTGCGCGTCAATCAATGCACTGTGTTGAGAAGCAATGGTCGAATGGCGGGTTTCGGCTGGAAAGGCCAGCCCTCTGTGTCAGGCCGCGCCGGTGGCGCGGCCGCGAATGCTTCCAGGGTTTGGGGTCGAGCGCGGCCCAACCAGACCCTTTCAGCCTCTGTCGCTCTGTCCCGATAAAAGCAGCGCATGCACCAAGCTCTGCGCAACTGCAGTGCCAAAAAACCGGCCGCTCAAGCCATTTCCATGACGGCCCGGCGCACCAGCCGGTCAGGCACCTCCGCGG